GGCTTCGGTTTCACCTCTACAAGAGGGACCTCTACAAGAGGGCTCCAGGAGGCTTCGGTTTCACCTCTACAAGAGGACTGTCTCCGAGCAGCAGGCTGAAGCGCACCGTCTCGCCTGTACAGTAGATGGAGCTCACCTCAGAACGATGCCCGTGAAATACAGACAAAAGGCACCGTGATGCGCTGCGCACGACTCGAGCCCGAACTGTTTCTCCCACACAAGGTGTTACTTCTAGGCAGCCCGCTAGCAGCCCCGCCCGATAGCGAAGAATCCCCACCCCGATTTCACTCACTTTGAGCCTCCTCAACAGCTTCAGGCTTCACCTACTCTGTCAAGAGCTCTAGGTTTCACCTGCTCTGAGCCCCTTCCAGAGTTCCAGGTTTCATTCTCTCTGGACCCCCAAGAGCTCCGGGTTTCACCTACTCTGAGGCCTTTCTGTCTCAATCCAACCATCGTCCCGATACACCCCGTGAGCCGTCTGATCAAGAGAAGCCCCTGACAGTTCACGTAGACCCGATATGACGATCGCCATCACAATGATGTTCTGGACCTACGAGTACAAGCACATCCGGCCAAGCGGAAGGATTGCGCGCCACGGGGAACGGCTGACCCTCTGTCTCTGCATTGCGGTCAGCGACGAGCAGCCCCAGGGCCGCACAACAGCATCGTAGCTCTGAAACGGACCCCGCTCGCAGCCCAGTGTAACGTATACATCCCTGTACACCCACATGCGAATACATAGAAGGACGTAAACAGCAGTGGCACTCGGTGCCCAGGCAAGCGAGAGCATCGCCCTACTGTATCTTTACGACCCGCTACGGCACGAGCACCAATGCCCATGGAGGTTGGTATCTCAAGCGCGTCGGCTCCTTCACCAGGATCACGCCACGATTCAACATCATGGGACCGGGGTACATAAACACCCAGTTGTATCTGTACGGAGTCTTGGCTGCACCCCAACAGCGCATGTCCATGAGCGACGAGTTCGACATCCTCTTCCCATCCCCCCCCACACACCCAAGCGCAGCGCAGGTAAATACGGCACCTACGTCGGCACGCACCCCAAGAAGAAGGGTCACGACATCATCCTGCAGTTTGGCGACTACTACTGTGAGACAATTCGAGTCCGGCGTGCCATAGCCATCTGAAGCAGCGCATACCAGCGCGACGACAGCGGCTAGAAGAAAAGCTAGTGCACGGCCGCTGCCGTGTTGCGTGGACTATAAGACTAAGAAATCCACAGTCCGACGAGCTGCGAGGATGCACGCACAACAAACGCATGTCAAATTATCTGCAAGCAACCTACCGCAGTGCTAAAATCATCAACTGTGCTACGGCACCAGCCCTAGCCAGCCGCAGCCGCGAAGCCCCGTGCGATACCAACAGCCATGGCTCTCTCTCAGGACATTCAGCTGCAGAAGAAAAGGCGCTTTTCCGCGATCGACATCACGCCGTCCCGGAGCAACGGCACCGGCGACGCAGAAGGCAACGAGCTGACGGCAGTAGTAAGAAGGTGGGGGAGCGCCTTCACCGTGTTCGAAGGTGCGGATCGAGACACTCCCCTGTGGCAGCTCCAGATCTGTCACACCGGACGGAATTCTTTCGGGTACCAGGTGCTGGCAGTTGCCAGAGAAGCGGTGCAGAAACATCCCAATCCCAACGTCCGGGATCTGCAACAACTGGAGTCGATCCTCCAGGTGCGACTCCTGAACGGGGCGCCGCCCCAGAATGGTCCGCTGGACCCGGACGGGACAGGGCTGGAAGCTTGGCAAGTCGTTCTGTACTCAACTTCGGTCTCAGCTGCATTGGACTTCGTCCAACTGGTGATGAGCCACAAGGTCACCAAGGGACACTTGCTGCAACTGCCCCCCCTACACATCGCAAGTCCAGACGGCGCGGTGGACACGGTGCCTCATCCCTGGAAGTCGAGTCACTATCCGCTACACGGCCCGAAAGCCTTCGCAGCGCTGCCTCCAAGAGGACGCCGCCACGTTTTGTGCCAAGTCGAGCTTCGTCAGTCTGCGGTCAAGACGACCAACAGCCAGGATTCGGGACAGGCAGAGGAGACGAACATGGACATCGAAGCAGACGACAACGCGAAGGCCATCTACACAGTCAGCATTTTCGGAGGCATTTACCCGTACCGCGAACTCTTCGATGCGGCCAACATCTCCGGTGGACACATAGCACAGCCGGACAGCAATCGCGACTACGTGCGCTTTCTGGAAGTGCAGAACGACGAGCAAAGCAGGGACAAACTGAAGTCGGTTTTCGAGCAGATCCTGCTCCACGTGCCCGTGTACCTCATCGACTCCACCCAGGCCCCTAACGACGAGATGGTCTCCTGGATTTGCAGCCTACCCTCGGTGGAGCTCGGAGAAACGAGCTCCTGAAGATCCTCGCTCAGGCTCCCTGTACAGACCTTCCTTGCAACGTGCGGCGCGGCGCACTGCACAGAGCCCGCCCTTCGGCAGACGGAAGAGAGACCAGTCCGCGACCGACAGCAAAAAGAAAACATGGCGGCGTGGATCATGACGTTGCCCGAAAGGGGTTGCAGGGTGAAGTCGTGACCAATGAATACTCAGCACGCGCAGCATCCCGAGACCTCGAGCCAAGGTAACAGGACCCCAGCCCTCCAGCCCAACTGCCGTGGTGCCGACAGCATGCATGCCGCCAACGGCTCGACCCCCTCTCCGAGCGCCGCCAACAGCCTCGCCGACGCATTCAAGAGAGCCGCACACAGCGCGGAGGAGATCCCGTTGCCGACTGTCGTGGACCAGGACGGGGATCTTAGACGAACGTTTCCTGTTAACAACAGGCTCAAACCCTCGGCGCCAGGATGAGGTCGCGGAAGCCACGGTTCCCGACACGTGCCCAAGAGACACACCATCGGGCCCAGCCGACGACGGGCGCGAGGTCCAGGCGGGTAAGCGGGCTACACATATTCGATCGCTCTCGGTCAGGACTCGCCGCAGACGCTAGGTCGGCCTGATTCTGGTGTAGGAGCAGGCAGACACTCAGACGAGACGGTGCCAAGGAACCAGGGCTCCCATCAGAGAACCGGGGTCCAACACACCACCTTGGATGCAAGGTACGCGAAGAAGAGGAGAGGACCAGCGACCTGCCAGGCAACGGTGCTATGTGCTCTCGACGCGAAGGTCCTGTGCCTGAGGAGGGAGACAGAATCATGGTCATGAAAGAAGCTTGGTTGCAGCTCGTCATGAACCGTTTAAAGACTCTGGAGATTCGCGGCGCACCGGCTGCGTTGGGGAGAACTTGGCTGGGCTGCAATGGCCAAATTCACGGAGCAGCCAACATCGTCAACTGCAGCATCATCACGGAGGCAGACTTCCAAGCCACAAGAGCGCAGCACAGGCACTTGGGAGAAATGCCCAACTACAAGAAAACGTACGCCCTGGCCTTGCAAGATGTGACGCAGCTCGAGCCAAGCATCGACTACTATCGGCTGCCAGCCACATCACCGTGGGCGGTGTTTCGCACCGGACCAACTGGCAAAGCGCGTCGGTCGGGGGCGCAGAAAAGAACTTTGGAGCAAGCGCATGACACGAAGCCATGCGAAGACATGCCGACGGAGCTCCGAGCCGAAGCCAGCCCGTTGCCGCTGACATCCGGCATGGTGGACCAAGAAGAGCCTTCGCTCGGGGCAGGAGACCGGACGGACGAGCATGACGACAGGAACAAGGAGTGAGGTGGAGCAGCCTCACGGCACAGGACTCGTCGGAATGACGAGGGGACCTATTGAAGCCTGTTTCAGGAAAGACCAATGCGGCCCGCGCAGAAAGACAGCCATGCCACTAGGACCCTCACGGATAGATCATGCAAGCACGAAACATGAGTGCCGCATCACATAGCATCGCCGCAACGAGTCGCCTGGTTCTGCCACCCAGGGCCCGAGCAGCTGCCAACGAGCCATGTTGGTTTTCTCGGGCAGACAGGCCTGGGCGGACGTGCAGGAGCCCAGACTCGAACACGCAGCCACGTTCGCGCGATATACTGTGCCGTTGCAGTCAGGACCACGACAACGCCGACGAGGAGGGGACGCGGCATGCTCGGAATGGATGTGCTTACCTCAAGCAACAGACGGAAGCCCTGCAGACACTGCAGGACCCGGCGGCCGGCGCACCGCCGAGGCAGGATCACTTCGAGAATCAAGGAGGACACCGTCGCCACCTCGTCCGACCGAAGCCAGTATTTACTTCGAGTAGACAATCTCACGCCGTGTAATTAATGCTACGATAGCTGAATGCAAGGCAGCAGCGACCTACTCTCCACGCGAACGACACGCCCAGATACAGAGTCGCCGCTACCATGGACGTTGGAAGGCCGTCATAACGGCACCGAATACAACGGCACGACGGATGCCGCAGAAACGACTCTCGACACCGGTCAGCCGCTCAGTGCAGTCCTTAAAGCCGGATTGCAGGCACCAGCACGATCATGCACAAGAGACCGTACCCAGGCGAGACGCAACTGAATCTCGAGCTAGCAGAATTCGTGCAAAGCGCCCTGTCTCGTCGCTGGGGGCCCGAAGCACTGCAGGACTGGCAAACCAGCATGCAGCGCCGCTGCCTCCGGCATCGTTTCCCTTGTCGACTCTGGTATGAGTTTATCTACGAATGGCGAGTAGAAGCGGAGCCAGCAGACCCACACACCTCGACCGGCGTCGGAAATCCGACGGTGCCGGGCCCAGCCGCGACGTCGTCAGCGCAACAGACGCTGTGCGACATTCGAGTACACGCAGCGCCCATCATCCTGATAACATCCCAGCCGACCACGGCAGAACCCGTCACAGGGCAGCTGTCCGTACAGATTCGTAGACTGTGAGATAGGACCGTGGGAAAGTGGAGAGGTAGCAGACTTCAACATCGCCGTCCGCGCTGGCAGAAACAAGAATCGTGGTCGCAACCGGCATCTGAGCATCATACAGAAGCAGCTGCAGCCATAGGATCATCAGGAGCGTTTAGTCCGGAGCGCACACCATGGCCATTCTCCTGTATTTTCTGGAAGCGGAGTGCGGCGTGCTGCTACGGCGGATGCTGACGCCAGCGGAGGTCCTCCTTCTGCTGCAAGTCAGCAGGTCCTCGAACATGAGAAGACTGGCGTGGGCCCGAGCCGTTCTGGCAGATGTGGCCAGGCTACGCAGGGTCCTGGAACCCTTGAGGACCATGCGACTGCGTTTCCCCGGCTTCGATCTCCCCGTGAGCATCAGATGCACGAAGGGCTGGACTCCGCCAGATCCCTCGGACCCACTGGAGACCTTGGGTCCCGTCGAGGATCTGCTCTATTGGTTGGACGACTTCGGGCTCGGAGGGTTCTCACCCGCCGAAGCGGTGCTGGTGATGAACGCGTGGCCGATAGAGACAAGGAACGCGGGCGCGGCTTTGAGCGACCTGCTGGAAGAATCGGACAGTCACTTCTTCTACTCGGCCAGGCCTGCCGCCTTCCGAAGGACATTCCGGCCCACGCTAGTAAACGTAGTCGTCTTTTTCACTTACAGAGGTCTGAACACCGTCCTTCAAATGCAAGACGTCGTCAATGACGGGTTCGACCCATAGACAGACAGTTGCCGGAGGGGAAGCGAGTCCGAAGCGACCCCGTGCGACAGCATTCCACGCGACAGACGAAAAGGAAGATAGACTATGCGTTCCAGGTGATGGCTGCAGGAGCAAATCCGAAGTCGACTGCATCCATCTGTGTCTGTTGTCGAGTACAGTGCATGTCGCAGCCGCTTCAGCGTCAATCAAGAAAGCACGCGCAGGCTCCACTCGGATCCCGTCGCCTTCCATGTCGGGCATCGACTACTCCAAGTGGGACCTCCTTCAAAGCAGCAGCGACGAAGAGGACTTCGGGAACCCCATCCCGCCGCAGTCTCCGCGACAGCCCATCACGACGGGTCCCTGGGCGGTGGCCGATCCCTGGCGCAAGTGCAATCCGCTGGTGCGACGTGAAGTGCTCAGAGAGGAGAAGATTCTCCACAGGTTCGTACAAGAGCACCCCTGTCCATCCGAGAAAAGCCTCCGGCGCTGGCTTCGCAGCATGAGCGGCACGGAGAGAATCGTTCCCGGAGAGCTGACCTTTGCATGGGTGATGAAAGACATGGGGTGGAACTCCGAGCACTTGGCGTGGTTCCACTACCCGTCCTTCCGGGAGCTCTGGCAGGCGGCGGCCTTGCAAACGGCCGAGGCCTTCACGGTCCAACGCAGTGCGGGCAGCACCTTGTACCAGCGCGGCGGCAAGGAGTGCATGCAGTTCAACTTCTATGCGCTGCAGCACGCCATGTGCGGAGAGCATTTTCACACGGACGCCCCACTCCCCGTGTACTCGTACGCGAAACGCCTGGAGCACGTCTGGGACGGGATCGGATCGTGGCGAGCGTAGTGAACCGCGCCTAGAGTATAGCTCGGCTAACAGACCAGAGCAGCGACGGCTGCCGCGAGAAGGCAGGCAAAAAGTGCACAGACCCCGATGCTTCAAGCAGTGAACATACCTACGGAGCGCCAGAGCCAAGTTCGGATTCGACGTCGGCCCGAGCCAAACAGAGATTCGACTAGCGTAAGCCGCCCGGACCCAGGACGACCACCACCGGCGACCTGGCATAGTCCAGCAAGCCTGCAGCTGCCATGTCGTACAGGAAAGACCACAAAGATGTGGAGCAGAGCACCGAAGACACCGAGGCGCGGACACGATTCATCCCGTTATCCATGTCTACATGGAACAGCATGCCTGTCTGCCAGGCAACGGATGCCTGCCAGAAAGTACGAGAAGTCCTAGGTGCACATCTCTTCCGACCATGGTGCAGCGCCAATGTGAGCAACTGGACCTATGCGGACGTTCCCGGCGCCTCGGAGATCGCGCCGGAGCAAAACCAGTGCCCATCGGAGGAAACCGTGCGTCAACTGCTGCCCGGCATATCCGAAGTGGACAAGACACCGGAAGGCTTCGACTACTGCATCTACCGACTACTGTGGCCGAGACGAGACTTAGCAGCACACACCGATCTGACCCGTCTCGTGACAATTTTCAAAAGCGTGATGGCAGAAGGAGGCCAGCGCAAAGCGTGCCTGTACATCGACCTACTGTACAGCACCGGGGCCAGTAGTGCGGACCAGCCAGAGGGGTCCGACCCCGCTATAGGACGACTACGGTACCGGGAGCGTCTCTGGACGGCCAGTCAGATCGCAGACATTATCCTAAAGACCATCTAGTTAGCGGCGTCAGCATTCCATAGGGCACAGCAGCTTCACCGTCTTCGCAGGAGCAAAACCGAGCGACCACCGCACCACACGAGCATCAGTCATGTAGCATGCACACTCTTCTGGCAGCTGTGGGCTCGAACCGGACACTTCGAAGTATACTAGAAGACCTCCCATTACCGGACCCAAGTACAGGCGGAAAGCAGCCATGTCGTTGCGCGACGTTCTTGCCAGCTCCAAAGAGAACGAGGACCCCAACGAAAGCCAGGCACGATCGAGCGCGGTGCTGTAGTTTTGCCTCCACGAGCAACCATGAATCCGTGCGATGCCCCGTCCTGTGCACCCGACAGGCCGTACGCTCTTTCCGATATCTGCAAGAGTTCCTGTCCGTGCACATGTTCCAGGCCTGGTGCGACGCCTATGTGGAGAATGCGACTTACTCAGACCTCTGCGAAGATCCGGATGTGGATCCCATAGAAACCGAGATGCCTACGGAAGCTATCATGCACCGGATCATCAGCGATAACGTCCCAGCAGAACATATGCGCAGAGCCTTCGAGTACAACTTCTTCGAGCTGCTCTGGCCCAAGCGGAACATCTCGTCGCTGGACGACATGACACGCCATGTCCTGACATTGGCAGCTCTGCTGGCTGAAGGCGGTCCCAACGCCGTGCGCCTGCACATCGATTTGGTGTATCGCACCCTACCGGGCGGCCCAGAATATCCCAACGAGCGCAGCCCCGTGGCAGCCCTGCGATATAGGAATCGCCTTTGGGCAGCCAGTGAGATCGCCAAGATCCTTCTGGAGAGCGTCTGAGACCATGTTGCCGGTTGTCCAGGGCACCGCGGCCTCACCCGATGCAGAAACAGACCGCAGCAAAAAAACTGGCACATGCATCGAGCAACACAGCTGGGCGATGTCGGAACTGCTGGCCATGATACTCGTTCGCCAATCCCCCTGCAGCCACTTCGGCTGCATGCGACACCGGACACTGATCCCTCCGCCTACGGTATGGCCTGCCCGACCAGTTTACTCGCCCTCAGTGTGTAAAGAGTTCGATGTTACCATGTCTCCAGGTCGCCACGACAGCCACGAGGCCACACTCTAGAGTAGCCCGTCGTGGCCAGCATAGACAACTCCGCACCAGTCCAGCTGCGTCCTGCCTGGACCTGAATGGGGCTGGAAGACTCGTGCAGCAATGGATTCTGTTGTCCTCAGCTTCCATGGAGTGCCAGGCGTTTATCCTCGACTCGAACGTCTGGAAGGCCCGCCACCGCTGCGCGTTCGTCCGCCACCTCCATGGGCTGCCAGGTCCCGATCCGCAACCCGCATGAAGTCAGAAGGCCCGCAGGCCAGCCGGAGCACCAGAACCGATACTCGGCCTGAACAGGCTTTCGTTCGCAAGACCTACGAGGCCAAACACTTCACGGCAGTTAATCCCAACCATGTTTTCGGTCTCGAGCTGTTGCGCCTGTCTCCCGTCGTGCTCGTCAGCCATGACTCCAAGTATACACGTGCACGCACACATGCACACACACACACACACACACACACCACGCACAGCAACGAATTAAGACCAAGCAGCTACTATGTACCTGCACCGGCCGGGAGCACGCCGAGCGTAAACCATGGCACCCTGCATTGGCTGCGGGTTTCCGCGAGTCGGCCGCGGAAGAGGCAGGCGCTCCATATCGTAAAAGAGTTGCTCGCCTGGCTGCATACGATCGAGCTGCTGCGCCAGGCTTCTGCACCAGGTTCGAATGCCGTCAAGCAGAGGAGCTGGAGAAAGAAAGGCAGAAAGAAGAAGCACGCGCCAAGAGGGCTGCCGCCAAAGCCGGCCACCGTGGGCCATTACCGCGTGCCGGAGGACGGCCCGAAGAAGAGAACAGCTGCAGAGCACAGCGAGCAGAACTGCAGTGGCAGCGAGCCGGAGTGGGAGGCGGCACGCGAGGACCTCTGCCAGGAGAAGGTGCTGGAAGACCACCCGAAGAGGAGAACAGCTGCAGAGCGCAGCGAGCAAAACTGCAGTGGCAGCGCGCCGAAGTGGGAGGCGGCACCCGAGGACCTCTGCCAGGAGAAGGTGCTGGAGGACGACCCGAAGAAGAGAACAACCGCAGAGCACAGCGAGCAGAACTGCAGCGGCAGCGCGCCGAAGTGGGAGGCGGCACCAGAGGACATCTGCCAGGAGAAGGTGTCGGAGGACGACCCGAAGAAGAGAACAGCTGTAGAGCACAACGAGCAGAAC